CCTATGACATCTATGTACCAAGTTTTATTGAAATGTGATGATTAGTACTTGAGATATCAGTGGAAAAGCCGAAAATTGATTAATCATTATGCAAATTAGGTAATTAATATTGCACAGATTTTTATCCAAAACTAATCGAATCTGCGCATTAGTTTGGAGCATCTATGTGCCAAGTTTCATCAAAATCCAATGAGTGGTTCTTTTGATATCAGTGGAACAGTCATGGAACAGCTAAAAATCAGCTAATTATCATGCAAATTAGGTAATTTTTATGCATGGATTTTTAGCAAAACCTAATCAAATCTGCGCATTGGCACAGAGCATCTATGCACCAAGTTTCATCAAAAATCAATGTATGGTTCTTGAGATATCAGTGGAACAGACGGACACACACGCTACTCTGAATGCCCTTCCCAGTGCACTCAAGAATGGTCTGGTGAATCGCTACGTAAAAATGTGGATGACACAGAATTCTGTGTCATCACTGATTGATTGGCTGTCTCCATGACTTCAGTACATTACCAAGAAAACTTGCAAGTGCCAGCCCACAGCCCTCCAGACGGATTGACGATAGACTTTTACAAGTTTCAAGATAACAACATCTAGTCTACATGTAGTTGGGCGCAAGGATATCTTGGTTTTTCAATTCAAAACAAATTCCAAGCATGATTACCTGCAATTCTTCTTGGCAGCCACAATTTTACAACAGAGACATGCTACATTATTCAGTTGTCTGGGGAGTTCTCTACATGATACAATCACTGAATTCTTCTGCTTGGGAAATCGTGCAATGGCTTTTTTCGAACCAATCTTATTAATATAAACAATATTACTGTTAGTTTTATGAAATCACAGTGACACACAGTCGTCTATGTATGTACATTGTACAAAAGACAACCACGGGACAATTATTTGACAGTTACTTAGGTAGGTAACAAATGCATGTTCTAGGACATAGTATGTACAGCTAGCAGTTAGAGACCTTTAAGTTTATAACTTTACTGCATACACATACTGCCAGAATTGTTATATGCTGGACTGCTATTAACTAAATAAATTCGAGATGCAGTTTGTCAACCTTCAATTCAGTTCGGCACTACTAATACAGTGTTTGCTCTGCATCTCTCAAAAAGTGCATAAAAATCGCATTGGCTGTATACTGAATCATTGAAATATTACTTATTTGAATGTTACTAATAGAGAAAATACAGTAGATCAAATGAACTGTTATTTTCACAATAGTTGCGTTTGATAGAGATTGAAGAGTTGTTCATGCCACAGAAAATCAATGACAAAATCAAAGCAATATACTGTAACAGTGGTCTGAATGCTCTAATTCACTGTAAACAAACATGGACTGCATACATGTATATTCCAGCTTGAGAAGAGTAGGCTTCTTTTAAGAAATAGTTGAAGCAGCCCAGTGAGTTGCCAGCTTCTGATGAATGCCTTCCACTGATCTGATCTGATATGTGTAAGATATATGATAGTCCAAATTTGTGAAGGGTCATCTAGTTTAAAACTTACTACTTGCTTGAATTGTGGCTCACAAGAACCAGAAAAAATGACATATTGTGTGTGGTGTCAATTGTGATTGGTCGCTGAAGCGAAGGGATACAGTAAATATATGTCATTGTGATTGGTCGCTGGAGCGTAGGGATACTGTAAATATATGCTATTGTAATCTAGCAACGGAGCATAGAGAAGCAGTAATTATCCTATTTTCTATAAATAGAATAAACTTTGGTGACACAAGCTGATAATTAAGAATAAAACAATGGTTCAGAATAAAATCAAAGCAACCCAATAAATATGACATTTTTGAGTGAGAGTGACGAG